TACACACCTGGTTTCGTGAGATCTTTGTTTGGGGCGGACCTAGCCCAAAAATGCATAAATGTACTGTGAAATCATGACTCGGGATTCAGAAGCTGGTTTTCCTGCGGGAGCTCTATCTCTCTGAATCCAGCGCTGTGAGACTTTCTTGTAATCAGACTTTCAGTAAACTTTCTGTTGATTTTAAACAGTCCTCTCCTGTCGTCACTTCTCGTGCTTCCAACAAAAGAATTGGGTTAATTTCTGACAAAGAGGTTAGAATCTAACATTCTATCAAACTGAACTGTGGTGGTTTTGTTACACCCCTACCTGCTCCCTATACTGAGCTGGTTAGTGCCTCAAATGTGCCCCTTACCTGAGCTTGGAGACTCTTCTGTTCCTTGTATTATTTGCCCAAACTACCAGCCTGAAAGTAATGATCTAACTGAGCCTCCTGTGTCACTTGTTAAACACCTATGAAGCATTTACTTACCTGAACCCCCCAAGTTGTCTGCCAGCACTAGTCTACCTGGTACCAGTTATTTACCAGTGTCATCAGTATTATCTGCTGTCTTCCACTCTCCTCAGAGCTTCCTTTTTTTTTTTGCAACAGATCATCTGTATCCCTATTTTACTAATCCTGTGAAAGTTGAACTCCTGCCATTACACCTGTGTTTTTACCTAACATACTTTTCTGATTCTGGATTTACATCCAATGAGGATTAAACTGTGACAGTAACTAAATTTAAAAGTCTGCTTCAAGTTTTTAAATACCAAAATGACATCATCCACTTTTTAAATGCTGTCAGAATAATGGAATTGTCGTGGTTGTCACTGCAGGCGTCGTCTTGTCGGAGCACGTGTCGTGGTTGTGGCTGTAGTTGTTGTTGGAATGGAATTTACAACTTGAGACATTTGAATGCTTTTCACAACGTAGGTTGCTCCATACAGGTAGTAGCTGTAGTAGTAAAAAGCCTAAATAGGCAGAAAACAGAGAAAAAACATCAGAAGATCAATCTCATTCTCTTCACCCCATCATTTATATTGTGTCAGTGCATTATCATCATTAAGTAGCTGAAGAGAATTTACAAAACAAGTTACTCTGTGTGTTCTGTTTCACATACCTGGTTAACATACTGAATGATGGTTTCATTGCTGAGCTGTCGATAGGAAGATACCTTAATCCGTAGATATACTCGTGATACCGGACCTGTAGGGATTCATAAA